TTTAACATTTGTGAAAATGTGCCCCTGTGGGTTTCATATGGTGTAAAGTGTACAATTTCCAACCCAATTATTTATATCTGATGCATATTTACATGGAAAATTCGTATAGTTTTCACTAGGCAGATAGTCTGTGGTGTGATATATTGTTAGTTCTATTAATTTTTTTCTTGGCACTCTAATATTTCTAATATAATAGAAATATAATATTTCTATCATACATGGATGCTATATGGAAGTGAAGACTATTTCATGTGTTCCATCTTAATCTGTTCCTATTAGTTTTTGTTCTATCTTGTATTTTCTCAATATCAATTCATATAACTTTAGGATTTTGTCCAATATTTTATTGTAATGCATTAGATTAATTTTTCAAAATGCCTTTGATACCTTTATGATTTCTATTCTGTTGTCAAGTGTAATCTGCATGAATATTCAGCAGTGAAATGTTCTATTATCTGTAGAATAATTTTCATTTTTAATGTTGCCGTTTTTTTCTCTAATTTTCAGAAGTTAGTATCTTTGTTCTTTTCCAAGAGGTACATTCACTGTTCTTAATTTCTTTTGCACTACTCGTTACAGGTCTTTGAAACAATTATAAGCTGTACGTTCACTTTCATAAGTTATGAAATCCATAATAAATCAAGATTTTACTTGAAATGTATCATTTAAAACTTGTAATTCAATCTCCAATTCTTAGGAGTGTGTTACATATGTTTCTTCAATTCATTTCTAATTTTTTTCTGATACTGTGTAAGAATTATTTTGAATGATTTCAATTCCTTTGAAGATATAATATTCTTTATTGTTTTCTGATAATGGCCTATGAAGATGAATATATCTTGTGGTTTTGAGAAGACTGCATATGGTGCAGTTATGGGCCAGCCCCTTGGAAATATGATGTTGTTTTCATTTGTAACTACAGATTTTTCTGCCTTCTTCAGCTGTCAGTTACTGATGGAGTTGTTTTGAAGTCCTCAGACATAGCTGTAAATGATTTTTGCTTTCACATTCATGTTTTTTTGCCTTATGTAGGTAGATGCACTGTTTAGAGGAATATACATTAGGAACTGTTAGTTCCTTTTAGAGAATTTCCTTTGGTATCATTGATCACTGTAAGCCTTACCTACTTTGAGGTACACATAGAATATTATCAATTTAATGTTCTTTCAGGTACACATAGAATATTAGCGCTCTGATATCCTTTCAGCAGCTTTTATTGAATCAGTGCTAGACTCATGTGTCTTTTTGCATAGCTTCCTACTTGATCAGTCCCATTGTGTACATATAATAGCTAGTCCTGTCCAGGTAGTGATAGGATTTGTACCATACACCAGGTCTGTGGACCTTGAGCAGCTCTGATACCTGTTCCCCTTTCTCTGAGAGTCTGAACTATTACTCTGATGACCAACATAGGGTTTGACCACTGCTTGCTAGGAATCTGTAGAACTCACATTTGCAGCTGTGCTTGCTTCTTGCTGCCTCATTTGTGTAATATGTCTCAAGTTCTCATGTTTCAAAGCAGACAAACAGATTAATGCACATGAAATTTGTCATTGGTTATTTGCTATTTAAATATTTTTTAGTAGCAATTTTTATCGTTAAAGAAATTTTTTGATAGTTCATGATGATAAAGCTATAAATGTCCTGCATATATTCAGAATATCTCATTATTGAGCCTTAGGCAATGGATGAAAGGATCCAAGTGACAAATACACTACCTGACTACCACATTTCTTGACTTATCATCCCTCAGCCACTCTCCTCCTTTGGAAAGTTTTCCTAAGTTTACCATGTGTGATTTTCCATGAAGAGTGTTCTTATTTTCCTTCCTTGGAATGTTCAGTGTTATAGAAATTGCACAGGGGAATAATTTGGGAGGCTTTATTTACCCCTGACTGTTCTTCATAAATTCTGATGTGTGAAAAAAGGAAAAGTACTTTCTCATCAGTTCCATTGGTGATAAGATTCAAGATTTTTAAAGTTTATTTGATAAGAATTACATCAATCTGCGTGAAGAAGAGCACAATGCATTCTCTGGACATGGGAAAGGGGTCATTGGTCAGTCAGTTTTGGTAAATTCCTAAGGAAAGGAGATGGGTATGGAGTATATCCATTGGTTCTTAATGCATGCACAAGTTTATGGTATTCTTCCACACCTCAGTTTTATTTGGTTATATTCTCAAATAAGACATGGGCTTTGTTTATTTTATTTTATTAAGTGTGTTGTACAAGTTAGATATATAAAATGATTACATTTATTCTAGGGAATTTGAACCTCTGCATTATATACCTTGGCTTGACTTCTTTTCTCCATTTTCCATCCTCTCAGCCCCATTCCTCTCCTTACAAGATTTTGTTTACATTTTGTCCTTTTCTTCTCATTTTTTCTTTTCCTTTCCATCCTTCCTTTTTCTGCCCCACCCAGTTCCTCTTTCCTCTTGAACAATTTCTTCCCATTTCACCATATCTCTTGCACAATTTGTTTCTTATTTAAACTTTCAGTTTTTTTACACCAGTGAGACAATGTGATACTTATACATGTGTTTCCAATTTATTTCAGTTAAGAGTATGGTCTGAAGAGCGATCCTTTTAGCAGTGAATGTCTCCAGGTTATCTGTTATGATAGAGTCGTATTCTGTTATATATCTTTTATATGCATTCTTTATTTGATGTGCATTAGGGATGTTTCCAAGGTTTAGCTATTAGAAACTGTACCCCTATAAATATGGTTGTATATTAATTGCTGTGGTATGGTACTTTTAATTCTTTTGAGAAAATACCAAGAAGGGGAATAGCTGGGTCAAATAGGGCCTCTTCCTAGTTTTTTTTATTTATTCCTAGTATTTTAAGGAAGTGCCACACTGATTTCCACAGAGTTTGCACCAGTCTCCCACCAAGAGTGGAGAAGTGTTCCTTTTTCACCACAGCCCCACCAGCATTTCATATTGATTGATTTTTTTGATTATACTCATTCATTCTGAAGTGAGATGGAATCTCAGCATTTTAATTTCCATCTGGTAAATGATCAGTGATGGACCTGGATTCATGTTCAATGTTTTTCTTCCAGCAGATGTTTTGTAGTTATGTTTTAGATCTGTGTTCATTCATTTTTTCTGTGTATACAAAATCTTAGAATTGTGTGCGTAGCAAATATTTTATCTTGTCTTATTTATTTCCCATGGTTGTCATAGACTTCACTTTTCTCCTTTTTTTTTACGGCAGGGTCATGCTATAGTTCAAGCTGGCCTTGGGCTCTCTATGGACACCAGGCTGGCCTCAAACTCACAGTGATCATCCAGACTCAGCCTTCCAAGTGCTGGGATTACAGGCTTGTGCAACCACGCCTGGCTTCAGTATCTCCTTCTAATACTGATGGCTTCTTGATTTTTTTCTTTTTTCAAATCTAAAAGTTTCGCTGTAAAATCCAAAGGAATTGAAGTGTGTCTTTCCCATTTCAATATGTAATTTATGTACATACAATAGAAGGGTATAAAATCCAGATTTCTCAATACATACCTGTTTCTCCCTGAACATAAATGAAACATCCTGTGATTTCTTCCAGAGATGTTTAAGCCAGCTGCATCATGATCAGTATTTTATATACCTATGGATCTACAGAAGGTTTTCTTCCTTTCCTAAGATGCATTTGTCATGCTTTCTACTAAATTTACGATGTAATGAAGGTGGAATATGAATGTGTTTTATGCATATTGTTCAAGCTATCATCTTGCTTAACAGATGTTGAATGTTATCAGCCTTCTGTTATACTGCACATCTAAAATTTTGTGAACACATGGAAGGTATTATTTGTAAGTGACACAATATTTTCTTTAAATTTGACTTTCTGAGGGGTAGTTTGACACAGGGTCTCGCTATAATCTTCACTGGCCTTGAAGTTACTACATATCTGGAGCTGAACTTGGAATTCACACCAGTCTTCAAACTTATGGTATCCTCCTACATCAGCCTCCCAAGTGTTGACACTGGCCAGGTGTGGTGGCACACGCCTATCATCCCAGCACTTAGGAGGCTGAGCAGAAATATTGTTGGGAGTTCGAGACCAGCCTGGGCTACAAAGTGAGCCCAAGGCCAGCGTGAACTGCATAGCAAAAGCCTGTCTCAAAAAGACAAAAAAAAAAGTGCCTGGGTTACAGGTGTATATATATACCACCACACCTGGCTGATTTTTTCCTTTTGTAATTTGTGCCTAATTATCTTTTGATATCTTCATTTTCAATGTATCCAGTGTATTTTATTCCTATTCTTACCTTCATTAATCTCCCTTACATGCTTCCTAATCTCCCTTACATACTCCATGCTCCTTACATGCTTCTTATGTATGAGTACAAGGTGATAATTTGGTGTCACTGTTACAGGCATGTGCAACCACACCCGGCCAACCTCAACACTTGGGAGGTTGATGTAGGAGGATTACCATAAGATAATATGTCACCCTTCCACTGTTTTTATGTTCCATAGACTTGCTCTAATTATATTATTTTTCCATTAGCATTGTCATTATTATTCAACAACTTTATTTAATGCTGTATTAAGTTTATTCTCTGACAACAGATTCAACTTCAAAATGCAGCCTGAGACCATCCAACAAAGAATGACTTAATTGTATGAGGAATTAGATTTGAAAACAGTTATCATCTGTGGTCTCTCAGAACCATTCATTAGATTATTTATCTGCCTCTCTGTTTCATGGATGGTGATTTGCAGACTCCTTCTATGAGCTCTACTTTAGAAACAGAGCACAAATAAAATTTCTGTGACCCTGCTGGGAAACCAGTTCTATTGTTTGCTGTTGCTATAGGAGCAAATTGGAATCTAACATCAGAACTGCTGTGTGAAAATATGTGTATATACTTGGAGACCAAGGCGTGAAGTTAATATTTGAAGGATTTGGCTTCAATTCAGCTTTTACAAGAGGAGCTAAGCTATCTCAGGGTGTGAGTCTGAAGCTTCTTTCAGAATATATATATGTGATTATTTAGGAGGCAGTGACCTTGGAGGATGTACTTGTGAACTTCACCATGGAGGAGTGGGCTCTGCTGAATCCATCCCAAAAGAAGCTCTACAGAGATGTGATGTGGGAAACATTTAGGAATATGAACGCTATAGGTAAGGATGCCATTTTCTCATGTCTACAATGGGAGAGCATTGGTTTTTGCTGATTGGTACAGATTCATTAAATAGAATGTGAAAACATTTTGAAGAAAAAACATTTTGAAGACTATCTCAGGCCTGTTTACATTACACCATGAATCAAATTTCTGTCTGTTAATTTCTATAGAATGCTATAGTGACTTTTTATATTTCTATGGTTACAATTTAGGAACAACCTGGGACAGCCAGCAAATTAAAGAAGAACTCAAAAATTGCTTAAGCAATTTAAGGTAATTTGCATTTTTAAGTAAAACTAAAATCCTCCGAGTCAGCATGTGAGCAGAAGCAAGCAAAGGAACCCTACTCCTGAAGCTATGTTTAAATGTGTTTAATCTCACAGAAATTCTCCAGATACGCATACAGGTTGATTTTTTTTGTAATCTGACCATTGAATACAGAAGTATTCTAATCCATGAAACTAAGTTTGAAGTGATATTAAGCAACAAGAGACACTATCTCATATATCAGTAAAAAAAATTATTTTGGGACCAACGTAATGAAAATGTTTGAAATGGCATTCATGAAGTGTGTGTAGGCATTTGTGAAAAGAGTATATTTTGTACTTTGACAGGAACTCACCTTCAACATATATAATTATGCATATATACATGCATATCAGACATATACTACCTAAAAATTGCCAACATGTGATCAATATTCAAAATGCAATTGAATCTCAGTGATGTGAAAATAGATGTTTTGAAAAAACTTGCTATCAAAAAAAAAAAAAGAAATCACTCTAGAGAAATGGAGTTTAAAATTCGTGGAAGGCACCTGCAAACACGTTTGGTAGGAATATAAAATAGAACCACTTTGACAATATACCAAGGTTTGAAAAAATATAAATAGAAATTTGCATTTCATTCAAGTAAATCTTCCTGCATATATTTTGAAAGGATTTAAAATTATCTTAGACATAAAATCATACTCATGCTCAGCAGCATATGCATGGGCATTCACAATAGCTAATTTCAGTTAGTAATACCTTATCTCTTGGAACAGCCTAGATGTCCATCTTTTTATGCAGGGATAAAGGGAATATGGGATAGGCTGAACATGGTAGCTTCTTCTTATACTCCCAGCACTCTGGTAAGCTGAGCCAGCAGGATGACAGCATGAAGTTCACCCTTACTAAATGAATGATCAATGAGAATCTGTATCAAAATACAACAAAAGAGTCTAAAAGAGTAACTTATTGCTAAAACTCTTGTTTAATTCTCAGAAATAAAAAAATATGGTATCCCACCATAAAGAAGAAGAGTATCTTTTGATAAATAAAAACTAAGTAGATGAGACTCCATCTCATAATGTTAAATGAAATAAGGCAGACACAGGAAGTAAATTTTCATGACTTTTCCTTGGATATGAGATACCCAAATGTAAATTTAGGGAGTAAAATTAAGGAGAAGTAAAAGAGAACAGAAAGGCTAATTTGCTGGAGACAGTAAAGAAAGCAGAGTATGGGGCTGGGGATTTAGCTCAGTGGCACAGCGCTTGCCTGGCA